AAAAAAAAAAAAAAAGAGACTGTCATGTGAATACATGGAGCTGCTTATGGAATTGAGTTACATTTGGGCTCACATTCTTATCCTGTCAGTGGCCACTAATAAACAGTTGAAGCAGTAGCACCCTGTGTGAATGTCCATGACATTGTGACTAATGTAGAAAACAGTGGTGGCCGATAATGTTTTGATGGTGAGCCTGTATGTTTGAAGAAAGTCTTTCCATTCTGGAATCGAGCCTTGAGGCTGGTGATGGCAGAAAGGATCTAAACATCAGCCTGGTTTCTTTCTGGTCTCCCACATCCTGATTGACTCCTGTCTGGTAGGATTTGCGATGTTTGATTAGTAGCAGACAGTTGGGTGACGTACTAACAGGTGCATGAGTCTGAAGGTTTTGGGGCTGAGGGGGAAAACCAAGGAATAGAGGTAGATATTTCTAAGCAGGTCTTGTGCACTGACATTTACTTAACATTATGTCAGCCTTGATTTGTGTGTAGGTGGTTTTGATCTTAGAAAGATTCACAGGTTTGGAAGGTTGTCAAGGGAACTGCAAGCCTAATTTTTCTCTTCCACATCAGGTTTTGGACCACATATGTTCCACCCAATGGGACCGCCTCCACCTTTCATGAGGGCTCCAGGACCAATCCACTACCCTTCTCAGGACCCCCAGAGAATGGGGGCTCATGCTGGAAAACACAGCAGCCCCTAGCACAGCATCGCCACTCGGGCTCTGAGGAAGAAAGGGCGCTCGAAAATCCCAGTAAATGAGTCCTGGGATAAGTATCATTTTCCTTGCTTTGTAGTTTCCATGGTAGCTGAATGTGTTCAGATGTGGGCAGCCAGAGAACACAGCTATGCTTCCCCACATGTATCAGAGGCTCAGGGGGCCCAAAACAAGCTGCCGTGAACACAGCTGCTTACCACTCTAGCAGTACTAAGACAGCCTTATGTGTGTTCCTTTTCCACTTAGTGGGGAACGTACACATGGGTGAATCGGAATAACTAATGGAGTTACTATCCCAATATGTTCATTTTGTATCTTTTTGGGCGGGAGGCAGAAATTGACCTGCGATTTGGAAAAAAAAAAAAAACACAAACTTTTGACCATTTTTATGTCTATTTGGTATTTTCTTTTATATCATCTAAAAAAAATTAGTACTAATCATTGTAGTGTCGTAAATGTGATTTAACCAATTTGAAGTCACACCCTCAGAGACAAGCAGAGACCAGAACCCAGCACAGCCGATATTTTCTTTGCTTTTAAAACCTCATGTTACTAAAGGAGTCAACTGCTAATTTTACTTCTCCACACTGTCAGAAAAAGACAGAAGTAAAAACTTGCTTTTTATTCCCATTGGGTGGAAACCCAGATTTTATGGCGCTGCATATCATTGATGAAACCTGGTACCTGAGATGAGATGGTTTGAAAGAACTTCCTGTGAAACACTTTAATAAACTGAAAGGAAGAGCCTTGGCGTGTGTTTGCCTGGAGACTGCCCGCCTGCAGCCGGAACTTGGATCCTCAGCGTTCACCCGTGTGTCTTCAGCGGCTCACCATTCGCTGCCTCTGGGCAGGAGACTGTTCAGTCTTAGGATGTTTGGATTTAACTCAATTGTAGATGGTAAGGGAAATTTGATGTTGTATTGTATTTTTTGTTTTTAAATAATTAAAACGGGTCAATTTTCCAAATGTTCCTGGATTTCTGCTTCTTTTACCCTTTGATATTGAATTTGAAATTGGTAAAAGAAACAAGTTATACTTGTGAATTTTTTAATCTTCAGTCTTGATTTTTTTTTTTTTTTTTTTTTGGTGGCAGGGGGTAGGTGGCATGCAGTTTGAGATAAAATCTCCATATATAGCTCAGGGTAGTCTTTCTTATAAGCCCCTTGAGTACTAGGATCACAGACCTGTGTCACAACATGTAAGGTTTTTTTTTTTTTTTCCCATTCCATGATGGTAAAAATACTCAGCCTTTTTAGTACTAAGAAGTTGGTAGTAGGGTTGAAATAAGAGCAGACAGAAAGCTGAGTGCGGTGGCGCACACCTTTAATCTCAGCACTCAGGAGGCAGAAGCAGGCAGATCTCTGAGTTTGAGGCCAGCTAGGGCTACATGGTGAGTTCCAAGACATGGTGAGACCTTGTCTAAAAATAAAAACAAAACAACAACAACAAAAGGAAGAGCATTCATAGTCTTGTCCGTGGCTTTTGATAGATAGTAGTCTTAAGTGCTGTTCTTACACAGGCCGTTGTAAGGAACCAGCCAGATCTGAAGGGTTTGATGCCATTTTGTATATAAAATCTGTAGAGCTTACCTGTGTAACTTAGAAAACAAGAATTGGGCCATTTCCCCCTTTTCCGGTCACCCACATTATAGATAGGACTTCACTTAGCTCACTGACCTGCACCCAGGCTTCTCTGGAAACTCCTCACAGGCACACCCAGACGCGTCCGCCTAGTGCTGTGTGCATCCCTCTGCAGCCACACTGCGGATGAGCCAGTGCGTGATCTGTCTGCCAGCTCGGCTAGGCAGGGTTGCTGGTCAGCTCTGAGCTGCTCTTCATTCTCTATGTCTTCTCTCACTTCCACCTTATTCCTCTGGGATACATGTGGGAACTTGTGGCTTACTGGTTTTTCATGTGTAATGCAATGAATGTATCTGTAATATGAAGTTATTTAGCTTTTTGAAATTTTTTGGTGGTTCTGGAGACTGGAAGTAACTTTTTTAAAGAAGGGATCATTTTAATGGAATCTAAACAGAAAGGTACATAAAACACAGATGTACAACCAACTTAGACTATTTTAAAGTAGACATCTGTGTAGCAGTCAGCCAGGTCTAGAAATGGAGAACCTGCAGTCATCTCAGAGAAGTTCATGTTCCAGTCACTCACATCCACACGCCCTCTCCTCCCGACTCGCCACTGTTCTATGTTGTGTCTTTGCGTAGTAACCACACAGGAGTTTGTTCGGCTTGCCTTGTCACCACTCTGCTTCTGAGAGGTACCGTGTGACTACATCTAACTAGTTCATGATCACTGCTGCCAACTCCATCAGGCTTCTCAGTGTTTTGTTGGCTAGTCTAGGCACTTTATGTAAAGAAAAGGAGACAAAATTAGAAGTTTGTATGAAGGACTTGCTAGGTTCCCAAGTTACATGAGATGTTTATTTGCTTTTCCAGGATCCAAAATGTCCTTGTTGAATAACAAACAGCACACATAGTATTCACCAAAGACCAGTGGTTTACCTGTGGTCTGCAGGGATGGAGCAGAGTACAGGGTAGGAAGGTACAGGGGTGTGCATGGGAGGGGCCGTGCTGCACAGACACGGTCATATTTTATTAGCAAAAATCACGTCAGAAGAAGGAATAAGGACCTGCTTTAGGGTACAGGACCCCACCCTCCCAGGGTCTATTCTGCACTCTCAGAGCTTCATAAACAATCCAAGTCCTCCTACTTGCCAGATGGTGTTGGTTTATAGATTATGGAAATTTGGCTTTGAATGACAGTCCCAAATCCAAGAGAAACATCAACTGCAAGAAATCCCAAGATTCAGGGTACTGGTTCCCTGGAACCAGGAAGGGGGCTAAAGCTCCACAGAGCAAAAGAGAAATACAGCCACTGTGTCGTCCAGCCTGGCTAGCGATTCCTGTCAAAGGAAACCCTTATATCACCAGCTTCACACGGACCTGGAATCCTGCATCCTCACAGCCTGCTTTATAAATGGCATCCACAGCAGATCTATTCCAGCAGGAGGGGCGGAGCCCTGGGACTGTCCTGTCCTGTGCTCCCAAGCCCTGCAGAAGACCAACACTTGTCTTCGCCTTGCAGGTAGAGAAGCAGAGGCCCAGCAGGAAATGGCTTCCCCAAGTTCACGCCACTCAGAGTAAACCAAATCCCATCTAGTGGGGTGCCCCTGGTCCCCACAATCAGTTAAATTCTAAATCATAAGACATGACACTGCTCCACTATTCCAGAGTGAGCAGACATCAACTCAGCCAGTGAAATGATTCCTCTGAGTCCTCCATTCTGACTCTGCTCCGGACACCTCATTTCCCTTTAGAGATTGGATATCCACATCTCTAGAACAGGGTTTGGAGAGAACCACCACCGAGACACCCACACCGCACTGTCCGCAGTGGCCTCCTCATCACTTGAGTGGAGGATGGGAAGGTGTACGTGTTCCACCTTGTACCTGTTCTGGAAAGGGCCTCACAGGCTGACCCCCACTTTTTCCTCCCCTCCTGTCGCAGGCCTTGGCCCTTGTGGACTTCCTGATCTCCAGCATTGCTCCTGGGCCCCACACAGCAACCACTGAGGCCCTGGCTCACCTCTTCCTCCTTTACCCAGTAGATCCTTGGTCTCACTCCACCTCAGCACATGCTAAACACGTCCTCTCGTCACCCCCTCTTTCCTTGACAAGCTCCCATTTCTTCTAAGGTCTGGTTCAAGTCCTCTGGGAAGTGTCTGAAATCCCACCACCCCACCCAGGGTTCTTCTGTTCCATGTCCCTTGGCTCTCAATTGTCAGTATCCAACTGCTTTATAGATCTCTTCCCTATCATTTCCTCTCGAGACTGCAGCCTGGCACTGTCTAGCACAGAGCAGATGTCAGAAACACTGAGAGCATGTGCAGATGAGAGCTGGCTGTGTCTCAGTAAGTGGGAAGTCATGGGGTGCACATCTGTTAATCAGCACTTGGGAGAGGGAGGCAGAAGGATCAGGAGTTCAAGGTGGTCCTCAACTACAGTTCATAGCCAGCCTGAGTTACAACTTCTTTTTTATTCTTTTTTTTTTTTCTTTGTAACGATAAGAGTCTTATGTAGCCCAGGTTGGCCTTAAATTCACTATCTAGTCAAGGATGACCTCAGACTTTCGGTCCTTCTGTCTCTATCTCCCAGGGGCTGGGATCTTAGGCATACCCACTATGCCTAGTTTACGTGGTGCTAGGAATCAAACCCAGGGCTTTGTGCTCATTAGGCAAACATTCTACAAACAGCTGCAAGCAGAGTTAAGATAAGCATGGCATTTCTTGAGCCCCGAAGCCCAGGGATTGGAGCTTCCGGTTGAGGCTACAGCTCCTCAGACTCAGGGAGCTTCCGGACCCAGCCCTGAGCAACTCTGTTGAAACTGGGTCTGAGCCGGAGGAGTTCCAAGCCACTGAAGGGCTCCGGGACAAAGGGGGTGCCTGCTTGGAAAATGGTCTCCCCGACCCGGGGTCCTCCAAATGGCACTGGGGTCCTGGAAAAGAGAAACAGGAGAGATGGGCCGTGAAAAAGAGGTAACAGACATATGTGCACGTGTGCTCACACCCAGCCTCTCTCGAGGCCTCAGTTTCCCCTTCTCGGCAGCAAAGATCCATACTATCATTAGCTGGTCCTTAGTCCTGCCTTGTCCAAATCTGTTCCCTGTTGAAGTAACAGGGAGGTTTCGAGTTAGAAGTGGCCTAGGCCAAGTTCCAGGCTCCCCTCCAGCCAATGCCAGAAGAGAACAACACTGGAAGGTGGATTTCTCTTTCTTTTTCCCCACTTTCCCTTACAACAAAATACCCACACCCCGGAGGACAGAGGACTTGGAGGAGCACCAAGAATGAGAAACGGCCAAGTGACAAGCAGAGCCCACCACTTCTCCCCCACGTGAGACATCCCACGCTGATGAGGAGGCGGGGGACAAAGCCTCGCTCATCATCTGCTGCTTTGGTGTGTGGATAAATCGGTGCTTTTACCTCGGAGGGCAAATGAGCAGAATCGCTTTCAACCTGGAAACGTGTCAACTGTCACCCAGGAACTCTGTTTCTAAGCATATGGCTGGAGGAGGCTCCTGCCTGCTTGTGTGGAGAAGCAGACAGCAGAGCATCACCGAGCGGGAAGTAGCCCCGCGCCCTCTGAGGTGGGGAGGGGTGGACAAGCCAGAGACACAGAAACTCAAGGGAAAGGGAAACATCTGTGTCCGAGGGGTGGGTTTCAAAAGCACAAAGCTGGGTGAGAAAAGGAAGCTACAAAATGAAACAAAGTGTCCGTACACACACACACACACACACACACACACACACACACACACAGCAATCACCCTCTGCTTGGCAATGGCGGGTACAAATGGTCTGTGATCATAGGGCATCCTGACAACCTTGTTACCACTGCAAAGGAAACCGTTGGCGAGTGGCCAACAAAGAGATCCTGTCTTTACTTCAGGGGTGTGTTCACTCTGGATTCTCCTGCTCCCTGCCTCTGCCTATGCTCTCCCACATATCAACAGTAAAGTCTCCACCATACCTGGGAGCAGTCATGTTCCTTTCCTTTCCTTTTGGGTTTTTTGTTGTTTTTTTTTTTTTTTTTTTTTTTTTTTTTTTGAGACAGGGTTTTTCTGTGTAGCTTTGCGCCTTTCCTGGAACTCACTCTGTAGCCCAGGCTGGCCTCGAACTCACAGAGATCTGCCTGCCTCCTCCTCCCGAGTGCTGTGATTAAAGGTGTGAGCAACCACCGCCCGGCTTCCTTTCTTTATTTCTTTTTTTTTTTTTTTCATTCATCTGTTGCTGAAACCCAGGACAGCCATGTTTCCTTTTCCTTTTTATTTCTTTTTTTCATTCACAGTTGACTAATGCTGCATGTGATTTTAAGCCTTTTGCTGGGAGAGAACAGTGCTGGACATTGAACATGGTCTCACGTGTGCTCAATCCCTCAGTTATATTCACAGTCCTTTTTATTTTAACCAATACATGCCAGGCAGTGGTGACACATGCCTTTAATCCCACCATTCGGGAGGTACAGACAGGTGGATCTCTATAGTTTGAGGCCACCATGGTCTACAGCGTGAGTTCCAGCACAGCCAGGGACACACTAAGAAACCCTATCTCAAAAAACCGAGAGAGAGAGAGAGAGAGAGAGAGAGAGAGAGAGAGAGAGAGAGAGAGAGAAGGAAGAATACAGAAAGCAATATTCCTAGAATTCCCCTGCCGTGGGGACTAGTGGAAAGGGCTTTGCCTCTGGGTGGAATTGCAAACCTTGGCCAGGGTCTGGGATCCTGCCAGGGCAGTACTGGCTACCCCAGCTTTGCAGGCAACAGCTGAACCCTTCAGGAGCAGGCTGGGCAGAGTCTGAGCCCAGCAGGCCTCATAGCCAGGACTGGGAATCCAGAGTCCCCGCTGGGCCCTGCTCGCCCACAAGAGAGCTATTCCTCCTCTGCCACCTCAGCTGCTCCTGCTGTCCCAGAAGGGGCCTCCCTAGGACCCTTCGGCCACTAGGAGAGAACCTCAGCTGCCATTCTGAGACACAGGAGTGAGGAATGCCTCCAACTCAGCCAGGCAGGAAGCCAGCTGCCAAGACGGAGCCTGCTGAGGAGTTGAATAGGTGGTCAGGCATCCGGTGAGGGCCTTGGAGGGGCAGCAATTCTGCCTGGTGGAGAATTTTAGGCTCTCACAGACTCTTCTGCCCAGTCCACTGTTTAGAACGATCAAGTCCCTCTCTACTGTGTATTCTCAAGGACCCTATCCTTCCAGCATTTCTCTTAGGGCCTGGCCAGGCCCTCTCACACAGTGCCTGCCTCTCAGACGATCTCCGATCTCCGTGTGTGGTCTCAGCAGGTACCAAGCCGGCTGTCTGGCAGCCTCCTCTCTGAACTCTTCTTCTTGTTCTCACTCACTGCAGCCCAAACCAGAGGGAACATGTTCAGAAACAGCCTCAAGACAGGGAAAAAAAAAAAGACAACTGTAGTGGAAACACCCCCAGCTGGGGCCCCTCTGCGGATCCACCTCCTTCTGGAACCTGGGCTACGCTTCCTGGCTCCCAGAGAAGGGCTACCACCATTTCTGCCCCATCTTCCCATCCACTTTCCCCATCATGTCTGCCTATAAGCGGCAATCGCAGTGGAAGCCCTAGACCTAGAAGAAGCTAGCTTATTGTCTGACAGAAAGTTCGCCTAGGACTTCTCACGTCATCTCCACAGCAGCCTTGTGTGCTTGAGAATGCTGCATTTTACAGGTGGAACGACAGAGGCGCAGAGCGTTTTAAGTTCCTTGTCCAAGGCCGGACAGCTAGGTTTGGAGTCTGGGACTTGAAGGCCAGGGCTGCCCACCTCCTCCGGGTTCTGTGACTGAGCAGGGGGTTCATATGCCTGAGCGTGGTCTCTTCCTTTGTACAATGAGGGGGAATCTGGTACTTGCAATATGTGATGGAGGTGTATCGTGTTCACCTTACACACACACACACACACACACACACACACACACAC